CTCTCAGGTCAGACCAGATGATTTTATTGGTTCCAGGCACTCGTTTTAAGTTCAGAGGTGACAGTGTCTTCTCTGTTGCAGGTCCAAGACGGTGGAATGAGTCACCACTGTATGTCAGGCAGGTTCCATCTCTTAATGTTTTTAAGTCTAGTTTAAAAACACTTTTACTCCCTGGCTTTTGATCCAGTGTGAGCTGATTTTATCTTGTCTGTTTTCTATAATGTTTGTCATTTAGTTCTTATCTTTACCTCTGTGGATCTGTGTATTTTATCCTGTGTCCTTGTTTTGATGTTGTTGTACAGCACTTTGGCTGGCCTTGTTGCTGATTTAAGTGCTTTACAAATAAAGTGGTAAGTATGGTACTCTGACAACTTGCAGCATTGCATGATGGTTTGACCAAAGTTATTTCTAACCACAGGATGTGGCGGGTGACATGCATTCCTTCATGGAAGTCTGGGTTTTTCTTTGTTTTGTAAGTCCAGTCCTGGGGATTTTTACTGGTCACACCGGTCCTCTTAGCTTGTGTTGTTTAATACCATTCTGTACCATTTTGTACCATTCTCCAGTGGATTACCTCCTCCTCAGTCTCTTCTTTCCTTTTTCTGTTGTGGATCTGATTTTATATTCACCTCCCCTCTCCGTTTAATATGAGAAGACATCTTCTCCACTTCCAATACTCTTCTGGCAGCAATAAATATGTATATTTTATGAGGAGGACTATAATCATCTGCAGCCACGGCTGATGTACTTGCCAGCTGATGGTCTGTATTCATCAGATCTCCTCACATGTTGGCCGGAGCCAAACTAAAAGCTGCCTAAACACAGCCAAATTATCTGTTGGGGATAATACCTATATCTGCCTCCTGGAGAACTCCAGACTTGTTTTCAATTTGGACATTCTCCCTCTTTGCTGTGAACATGTTTTAGTCCGTGTTTAACGTTGGCGCATCTTCGCCTGTCGGATCAGACCTCCAGTCTCTCTAATTCAGTCGTGCACCATCTGTCTTCTTGTTTCTTGACTCCATTACCACGTCCTCCTCCCTCTTATTCATCATCTTCATTGTTGCTACCACTCTCTGCACTACCATCTCCATCACTCATTCGCACTCGGCCGGCGTTGGTTCCCAGACAACGGAGATAAAGCACGCCTCTCGTGCATTATCGCACCATCTGTCCACTACCTGCTCGCAGAGATTATTACTGCACTGCCTCTCTTTATCCTGCCCATCTCTTCATTTCTCTGACATCTCAGAGCTTGGAAGCTCTTCCTGTAGATGCTGAAGAGCAACAGGAAGCTTCTGAGAATGATAATGACCAAAACAAAACAATGATGTCAGGGTTTGAACTAGGGGTGTCCTCATACCAGTTTTGTTCTGACCAAGCATAACCACAAGTACTTCGGTTTGTGTACTTGCCAATCCCGAGTAGTTAATGAGTTAGTACTTAAATGTTACACAAAGGCTTTAGAAACACATTTTTTATTAAGAGCACAGCAAACAGTCTGCTGTCTTAACATCACTTGTGTTTATTTTAAAACAGCTCTAAACTAAGGGCATTTTTTAAAAAGTTTTTGTCCTCGGTTACTTGAAAAGTGAAACAGGAAATGATATCACCAAGCAAAAAAGTGGTAATGGTTGGAAGTATCGGGGTGTTTTTATGAGTACAAATATGAGTACTTGAGGGACACCACTAGCTTGAACTTGTATCTGTAAAAACACCAAGAAAAATAATGTATGCACTACTTACTCCACCGTTAACTAATGTAGTTTACTTTGTACACTGTTTGCAATCTTACTACTGCCATATACTTTGTTTTCTATTATTATTTTAAGTATTCATATATCAAAACGTTTGGGGGCTGCAGTAGCTCGGGGCGGGGTTATAATCCTGAAGCAGTGAGTTTGAGCTCAAGTTGCATCAGGAAGTTAATTGGGCGTAAAACAGTGGACAAATATTTTATGCGAGTTTGATCGCTGTGGTGACATCCGCAGAGGGAAGCAGCTGAAAGAAAGACATCTTAAAATAACATAGTCCATGCTCAATAATCCAGGTATACAATCCACCATTTTTCAGTCAGGTCATTTGGACATCTTAAAATGTTCAGCTGATTACGAATCGTGTGCTATGACTTCTGATTTTGTTACTTGTAAAGTTTTTAAAATATCCTAATTTAGCTGCATTTCTTCATCATTAAAATACATTAAGATCTATCCAGGTTTAAGGGATACTTAGAAATATTGTCTACTTGTACTTCTGTCTATCATGTTGCTACTTTTAACTAGCCTTTTTCCCACTTTAAGCTAGCTTTTCACTTTGGCTAGCCATTCACTACTTTGGTCTTTCACTTTACTACTTTTATTTATTATTTAAAACTGAAGTTTATTTAAATCAAGCAAAGCCCAATGAGATCCCAGATTTCATTTTCAAGAGAGGTCTAGGCCTGAAGGCAGCCTAAAGATGTGTTATAGACTGTGGGAGGAAACCAGAGTATCCAGAGAAGACCCATGCAAACACAAGTAGAACATGTAAACCCAACACAGTACGACCACATGTCAGAGGCCTCGGAGTTTGAGGGTTCAGTATCTTAGCTGGGAACTTAGTATGGAGCTCTTCCAGTTTGGGGGTCACAGCACCAAGTGCTCCAGTGAACACTGGGACTACTGATGCTTTGACTCCCAACAATTTCTGTATTTCCTCTTTCAGTCCTTCGTATTTCTCCAACTGTTCCTTCTTCTGGATGTAACAGTTTCTTGGGATTGCTCCATCTATCACCACTACTTCTTCTCTTGCTTGTCGACCACCACAATGTCCGGATGGTTAGCCATCACCTGTTTGTCAGTCTGGATATGGAAGTCCCACAGTATCTTAGCCCTTCCATTCTCCATCACCCTTGGTGGCACCTCCCACTCTGACTGTGGGACCTTCAGTTTATACGCTGCACAGATGTTCCTGTGTATTATTCCAGCCACTTAGTTATGGTGTTCCATGTATGCTTTGCCTGTGTGGATCTTACACCCTGCTATGATGTACTGGACCGTCTCAGGAGCATCTTTCCACAGCCTGCATCTTGGGTCTTGTCTGGTATGGTAGACCCAGGCCTCTATTGTTCTTGTGCTGAGGGCCAGTGGGATTCCAAGGTATTTGTAGATGTCCTGGACATCAGCAATGTTGCCTTCAGGTAGTTCAACCCCTTCATTTGTGATGACCTTGTCTCTCTTGCATTCGACTGCATTCATCCAGTCCAAATGACATTCCAGGTCCTTGCTGTATTTCCTCATGAGGTGGATCAAGTCAAGGCCTCGCTCGTGGCATTCAGCTTGATGTCGTCCATGTAGAGGAGGTGATAGATTGTTCCAATTTGGAACCGGTATCCATTTTGCAATGATTATATAAATATATATATAATATATGAACTTCTAAAACTTTGAGAAAACATTTCTAAGGACAGCTGCAAGTGAACAAGATGAGCCTGAGGGGTATGGAGGAGTTCAGATTCACCAGTGACGGTATTTAAAACTAAATGTCAGGTCATGACCTCAGGAAACAACCTGGTTTGACGGCAGTGTGGCCTGACCTGACAGAACTCTGAAGTGTGATGCAGCAAAACACTCATAAAATAAGTATCTTTACTTTAATAATAATAATAAAAAACATTTGGTGTATGTGTGATATACCTCGACGAGTTGGAGCTTTCTGCAGCTCCAAACATTTATCTCCACGTTGATTTTTTTTTTAAATGTGTGTGTGTGTGTGTGAATCTAACATTTGTTCAGACTCATCGATTGAAGACACAAGAATCTGGCCTGAGGGTTTACACAAGGTAAAATTATAGTTGCATCACAGAGCGTTTCTTTCAACAGAAACAAAATTGTATTTTTATTTTACCGGTTTTGAAAAAACATGAAAAGATTTGGTTTAAAGCACTGAAGCAGATTATTTTCATCTTATCGACTGATTATTAGTCTTCTGTTTGTCCTAATTTTGTCGCTTCAGTTGAAGAAACAGGAAGAGAATGAGTCATTTGTAAATATTCACTTTAAGTTAAAAAAAAAGCTTAAATATTTCCCCATAGAAAACAATGGGATTTTGCTGAAACAGATGGTGTCAGACCTAAAACTGAGACTTTACAACAAAAGCATCACTCAGAGTTAAAACCTGACACACAAAGTTGCTCTTTCCATGCCTGAACTGGTGTTTTGTGCATTTTAATGTTTTTACACAGTCACAGTTCAGGGTTCTGAAGACAGAAAGTTTATTTTGGGTGATAATGTCGCACTTATAATTGGCATAGTCTAAAACTTTTTAAAGTTTTTGTGAACAAACTCTTCCTATCGTAGTCGTTGCACTTTTTTATACAGTTTATGCATCAAAACAAAGATATTTTTGTCTTCTTTCACCCAGTCTGTCTCTCACTGCCGTAGGACTGATGAGTTTCTCTCAAACGCCCCCAGATCACAGACTGCACACCCCAAACTCCCAATGACCTCCACTGTATGTGAAATAAGAATTGATTTTTTTAATTTGAGGTGCTCAATCATCCAGGTAGATACATCACAAAAAAGAGGGTCAGGTGGACAGTTTCTTTTTGGGGGAAGTGTTTCGTCTTTCATCTGAAAGACTTCATCAGCCTGAGGCCTGCCACCGAGGTCTGTCACATAAATAGCACCTCCTTGATGTGTTTCAAACCAGTCTGCTGTGGTTCCCAGAAACTGTCTTTACTCATGTAAATTTGAGGTCTGCCAAATATCTGACCCTGTGCTTGATGAACATTTACAAACAGTTCAGGAACATTTTCAAAAGAATTCCCAAGTTACCGTTGGGCTCTGGAGACAAACGTTGATGCACGTTGAGTTTCAGGCAGTAGATTCATTCAAACCTTTAGAAATATTCCACGTTCCTCTCGTCCTCCATGTTCGATGGTAAATGTTTGTCTCGTTGTGGAGTTTCTTCAGTGGTTTGGGAGGAAGACATGTCATTAAAAGGTTTTCTGTGAGTCTTACCGGTTTGGACTGGATTTCTTTGGCATAGAGGGGTTGAAGGAACTCGGAGTCTCCCTCCAGTTTCAGGCCTTTTTCCGTTATTCTGAGGTTGCCCATTCCATCCTGTCAGAAACAGAGATGGTCACATTAATTCAAGGTATTATCTGGCAGAAAATCGAATCATCAAACTGAGCAGCATTAATTCAACAGAAAACAAAATGAGACTGCGTCGCTTCAGAACTCTGGATATCAGTAAAGAAAAGGCTTCTCCTGCAAACAGCGTTCCTGATTTCTCTCAGGTTGAAGGAGCAAACAAAGACCAGGAACCCTGGAAAAACATTCTGATTCATGACAAAAGGTTTGAAAGCTCAACCATATAACAAAAAAAGTTAAATCAGGTCATGTGGACAGTTTATTATTGGGAGAAGAGTTTCATCTTTAAAGACTTCATCAGTCTGAGGCCGGCGAACAGATCCGTCGTACAAAT